GATGTATACTTCTTCTGATTTGGTTTCTTATTCTGATCCTGCGCTGACTTCTTGCTCAGCTCTTGTGCCCACTTTGGCTTCCCGGTCAACTCAACAACTTTTACGGGTGTGCCTGGATTTCTGATAATGAATGCACCACAGTTTGTCTTTATCATTTGCTCTTTTTTGGCCTTCTCCCCTTTTTTCCCAAGTTTATGTTTCCCCTTATTGCTGAGGCAATAATCTCTCCCTCAAGAGCATTCATAGCTGATTTCCTACGTTCCTCTAGCTGGACTAAGGCATATATACCTCTTGGACAAATGGAAGGTCCTTGCTGCCCAAGATCTGCACTCTAGCAAGGAAACATTGTCGATGGAAATGTTGGTCATCCAAATATAAGAAACATGTTGGAAATATCGTATGAAAATATTGTAAAAATTATAGACATGGAGGAAACATTGTAAAATATGCAAAATATAGAATGGTATTTTATGAAATGATAAAGAAGCATAGGCACACCTTTTTGAATTATTGTCTTGTTCCAAATCATTAAACAAAGCTAAGAAACTAAGGTTATAGACAAAAGAATATGTTCTGAAGTTGCCCTGTAAACCTTAAGATTCAGAGCTTCATGATAGAATGAGTTAAAGCAAAATTTTAACCCATAGAAAATGTAAATGGTTGTAATAGATCAACCAAATAATCTATTACACAAACAAAAAGCTAATATTTAACTTCATGTTTGAAATGAATATTGAGCTAGCTCCAAGTGATAATCATGTAGGTTAGGTAGTCAATAACATTGTTACTTCACATATCTACAATGTTGTCACCAACTTATGTTATAATACTATCTCTTGGACTACACATAGTATTGGTAGTGTTCATTGGGGAATATGTCGATTCTAGTAAAATTTCATGCTGCTACCCATGGAAATGGAAATGGAAACTATCTCTTGTCTCCACATAGTGCTGGTAGTGTTCATTGGGAAAATGTCAATTCCAGTAAAATTTCGTGTCACTACCCATGGGCTCGTACATGGGATTGAAGCCCAATAGAAAAGCAAAAACACGTTGCTGAGATACAAGTTGTTTATAAGCTTTGGCATCTTTTTCACTTTCCCACTCAATGCTCTAGTAGTAATCCAACTCTTTCTAGACTGAAGTTAGGGCTGAATAGTAGGCAGATAAACTCCTCTCCCCCTGCTTACATATTTAAGATTCTTCTTGTAATTTGTAAATTTTGGCATAATGCCTTTGCTCTGAATACGTTGCTTTTGCCTGTTCCCATATTTCTTAGCTGTCTCAGCCCACGTGAAATTCTGTTTAATGGAAGGTAACATGGATGTCAAAAGCCACTACATAATCATGCAGTTCTCTTGGTCCCACTTGTCATATTCAGCAGTCCCTATCTAGGTTCCCTTTGATACTACCCTGGCTGTAATATACAGCCGTATCTCCTTGGACCAAGCCAAGTAATTCCTACCATCCAAGGGAGTGATAGTCATAGAACCACCATTCAGTCCACCCTGATTAGATGTAGTTCCTAATGTTGCAGAATCTTCAATTGCCATATATAATAACTCTAGAGTGAATAATACTGTTATCTTTCAGTCCACACACACAGATGACAACCACCCCCACTCCCTAGAGATTTTTATGCATGCAAAAAGCACATTCACACACAGCAACTGCTGTCACACACATGTACATCTCTGTCAGACCTCTCCAAGGCCAATACAAGCCACAGAAACATCAATAGAAGCAACTGCATTACCCTGCCAATCGAACCAGGTCACTCATGACCTACAAAGGTTTCAAAACCTTTCAGATTTGGATCTACAGATCCAAAGCAGGGTCAAACACCCCCTACACCATTCGGCCAATGCAGAACTTAGCCTGTCCTTGGTCTTACTGCCAAGAACTAAGGCTACAAACAATTTAGTTCTTACCCCTGTTCAGTCTGAGAAGATTCTTTGAAGATTCCAACCCAGAAATAACAGAAGAACAGAAAAAATAATCACCGATCACTAGGAAAAGCTTCAATCAACCATCGACATATCTCTGATATTGTCCTTCTTAGATTACAGTCAAGTTCTGAGTAGAGAGAGAGGGGCCGAAGTGTTCTCAGGTCTGGGACAAGTTTGTTCCTTCCATTCTCAGTCCAGGAAAGAAAGAAGATGTGCTATGATCAGAGAAGAACAGATTTAGAGAGCACCGTCCTGCTTTGATACCATGTTTTCCAAGGAAGGAGAGAAGAGAGAAAAAAAGTGTGAGAGTCAAAAGTTCTGGCTGGTGGCACCAGGTATTCTATTTATATATTAGGGCAACCATACATAACTTAAAAGGAGGTAAATGGACCAAAGTACCCCTTCAGTACATAACTGAGATATTACATCACTTTATATGTTAATGTTACATTAAATGATTTTTAAAGTCTAAAACCTATTGGATTTGGAAATGCAACAAGTCTTAGTTGTTGGCTGCTGCACATGGGTTAAGACTGACAAAGGCTATGCAATGACATAATCCAGAGGTGAAAGGTGACTAAGGGAGATTAAATAGTTGATGATAAGGGTCAAGAATATCTTACAAGTGGATAAAAAGAACTGCCATTTTATAGATCTACAGAAGCTTACAAGCTTACAAGTGGACAGTAAGGCTCAATAATATCTTACAAATGGACAAAAAGAACTGCCATTAAATAGTTGTCATTTTCTTTTATAGATCTACAAGAATATTTTATGAGTGGACTAATTTATAGATCTACAGAAGCTTCCATGCCTACATTACTTGTTCATCAACTGAAATGGTTTAATAATAAGGCCCCCATTTTCTTTTGGAGAGGAAATCCTTTGTTACTCTACAAGATTATCACATTTCATCTTTTGGGTCATCCCGCCAAAACAGGGAAGAAACTGCATTTTCTTCTCAAGAATCTCCACCACCCATGTCAGCATGGAGAAAGAGAAATAAGATAGACTAGTAGATTGGCTAGTGCAGTTTTTTCAAGAACCTTTCAATCATCACATCTATAATCGTCAAAAAGGCAACCTATGGCCTAAAAGTTATTTTTTGCTGCTCAAAGATCCTAACAGAATCCTGTTTATGTGGAATTCCAAGCCAAGAATAACTTGCCATGTCAACTCTAGGGGTTTCTCTGTTCATGCATCTATTTTAGGCTGCGAAAACTGTGCTGCATGTCTAATATATAGTCCAGCCTTTGACCTAATAACTTGCCATCTTTGAAACTGTGAGGCATATCTCCCGATCTTCTAAACCATAAGTCCTATCATCAATCTAGCCCTAAAGCAAGGTGGCAAGGTTGCTACCTTGTTAGGGGCAATAGGGAATCCTCCCTGGGTTGTTAAAGATTGTTCCATCTAACATGGAGGCATCAACCTAGGAAAGGTTCAAAATGAACTGAACCATGTTTTAAAAGCTCAAGGTGCAAAAAAAATGCAAAGGCCATTTTGCACTCAAGGTGCACCTCTTCGAAGCAAGGTAGAAAATTAAAAAAAATAAAAAAAAAAGTAAAAAATCAAAATAAATTAAAAAATATTAAAATAGTATTAATTAAAAAATACAAACTTTAATTTTAAACTAAATGTTTTAAAAATCCTATTAGCTCATATTAAAATACATAAACATAACATACAAAAACATGTTCAAAGTGAAAAATGCAAAAACAAAATAAAAAATAGCATACAAAACATATTCAAACATGTCAAACTTTTCATTTCTTCATTTCTTTCTCAGCTGCATTATTTCAAATAGATAATGTGATGTTAAATATTGTTCATTCCTAATGTGATGTTAAATATTGTACCAAGCCCTAAGGCAAGCCTAAACAGGTCCATGTTAGGGTCTTAAATTCTTAATTGCTACAAAAAAATGATTTTATAATTTTAATTATCTTGTAAAAATATCTTTTATTAGGAGGAATGAATAAACAACATTAGCAAATAGGGGGTTCCCAGAGTTTCACCTGTGCGCTAGGCATGCCTTTTAAATCACTGACACAACCTGTGCAAGATCCAGGGTGATTTGGGTCAAGGTGGGGTGGGCTAGTCTAAGGGATACTTGATCGGATGCTATTTTAACTATTGCATAATATTGAGCCTAGAATTCTGCATATGTGGCTGAATAGAAAAAATCAGCACTAACACATGGTCCATATCTCCAAGATGCCGCTCCAAAAAAAAAGGTAAAAACAAACACCACCACTTCCCTATGCATATTACCTGTTCTCATTTTTGTTTAGAATGTGTCCTTAATTCCAATCAGCTGTGACAATCATTGAGATGGTTAATTCATTCAATAATGAAGTGATGATTCCAAAGTCCTTCAAAATGAAGATATGATTGTAATGGTGCATAAGAAATTTCAATCATTAAAGAGGACATGAAAAGCTCTTACATGGCCTTACGTCACGGTATGTCCATTTTATATGCTGGTCTAACCTTTTCCTCTATCCTTTTTCTGGTCAAGTTGATGAACTTTTATTTAATAGACTAGCGTTATGACTTTAGCATTGGACTGTTAGTTTATTACATGCATACTAGGAAGTTGTAAAGGTAAAGGCAAGGCATGCATAAAACAAATATAATTAGGGTACACTATAATACTCCTAACTAATATTTCCTAATAAGTAATTGGTAGCTCAATTCAGAATTTCAGATGTGCTAGATTTTTAGGGCATTAAGAGCAATAACAGATTGGCTAGCCAAGTTGGGGGTTGGGAGGGTCTTTTTGTATAGTGAAAGCTTCTTACCTGATTAATTTTATGCAAGTGAAGGACTTCTGCTCCAATTTCTATGCATTCTTTGTGCAACCCCTTGCCCTACAACCTTCTTTTTTCCATGTAATGCATTATGCTTAGTTATCTTCTCCAAAAAAAAGGAAAAAAAAGTAATAGATTTCCTTTCCAGCAAGATTAATGATTATAAGAAGGCATACTGTACGTGATATATAATTCAAGCAATTTTCTCATGCCTTAACATATTTTTGTATTTTTAAAGGGAAATCTTGACAAAGCATCTGCAAATGCTGGTTATGTCCTGCTGATGTTTTACCACCTTTATGAGGGCAAGGTATGGCATCTTTGCTATTAATGGAGTATTTATTTCATAACTCTGACTCTGACCCTTTTTTCATCCTCTTCTCTTTGATGTCAATTTACTCTTTCTAGAATCGCAAAGAATTTGAGAGCGAACTAGTTGAGCGTTTTGGAGCCCTTGTCAAGATGCCATTGCTCAATGCAGATAGGTCAGTGGACTTCCGGTGTATTTGATGATAGAAACTCGAGCTGTCTCAAGCTAGCATCAATTTTCTGATGAGATTGGTTTTGTAGCTTCATAGAGATGTTAATAACATTTTTTGTTATTATCCTGATCAAAAGGGAAATTGTTTTCTTTTTCTTGCTCCCCTTTCCCCCATCTCTCTTTCTGATCGAACCAAGGGTTTATGATTTGGATAAACAAAACTGTACAAGGGAGATTAATCCACGATAACCTTGGCAAGATTGTTCCTCCCATAAGAGACATGATTCACAACTTAGATTCTTCATCAATGAGTAGTTCAATTGTGTGTCATTTCCATATTTGGATTAACCTAATATTACAATTTTACAAAAAAATTACAGTTGTCATATTTGGATTAATCTAAAGACAGTTCTTTAATGCCATTTTTGGTTAAGGACTAGGGTGAGTGGTTTTTGTTGGGAAGTTTCATGGAAAGAATCACACTTGTGATCTTCTTCAAAGAAAGACAAAATTGGTGTCTTTCCCCTAACCGGTGTATCGTTTGTAAGGCAAATGGTGAGACTTGCTACCACTTATTAATATCATACCCATTTGTTGCTATTATTTGGGAATGGATGGAATTCAAAAGGCAAAGGAGTTGAACATCAGTAGGCTGATAATAGAAGGGGACTCAAAGTTAGTAGTAAGCTGGCTACGAAAAGAGGAGATTGGTTGTTAGAATTTTGCTAATGAAAAAAGAAAGTTTTAGTGCATTACACAAAATATGGAAGCTAAGCTGCAGTAGGTAAAAAGAAGTGCAAATGCTTTTGCTGATGTTTTGGCTAAGCAAGGGCTGGGAAGGGATCAACTTTTGGGGGCTGTGTTGTAATTTATAATTCTAGTGGTCATCCCGGAGTGAGTTGAGAGAGCTTATCTCTCTCTGTGGTGCTTCTTTGTACTTGTTTCCATAATAAACGAAATTCTTCTGTTATTGATGAAAAAATGTAAAATTCAGATAACTTGCCTATGGATGCTTTAATTGCTAGCCAGTGGATTCAATGCCTTTCTAGTGTATGTAAGATCTCTATCTGACAAGCATGAAAAGCCACCTTGTGCAAAAAGTGGCTAAGATTAGGTCTGCATCCTGTCCACCCTTCCCAAGACCCCAAATAGTCAGGGCTCAGGACCAACTTTGGGTATGGCCCTGTTTTTTAGTCTCAATGCTCAGATCCTTAATGATAGTTTCCTATGCTTCAAAGTTCAAACCAATGTTTTGCAGTTCCATATCTTACTTAGATGTTGAATTTGTGGTTATTGTAGCTCGTCTGCTGAAAAAAAATAATAATGAAACATTTATGGGAAATTTTTGCCTCATATTTATCTTTCATTTTTTGGGATGCAGCCAGTCTCCTATCATTTTCACTGATCTCTTTTAACATTTTTGTCATTGCTTTTCTTTTTCTGTCTGATTGTTTATGCATCTGCAGGAATCCTTTACCTGATCCTGTGAAATCTGTACTAGAAGAAGGGTTAAGTCTTTACAGCCTTCACACCAACAAGCATGGAAGGTAAATTAAAATCATGAAATGTCAAGTAACCACCAGAAAACAGTCTTAATGTGTTTGAAATGGTCTACGAAAGCATAAAAACTTTTTTTTATCTGTATGTTGCGACTATCTGCTGGGTTTATTTAAATATTTCATTTAGACTAACAAGCACATAAGAAAGCTGTTCACCATTTGCCCCATAACTAGAGGTAGCAAGCAGCAGCAAAAACCAGGCTGAGCTAGGTTTATGTTTCCCAACAAATCCCAGCCTAACAATGGAACCAGTATAGAATACCTGGACAACAATTCATGATTAGTGTACCCCTTTTATACACAAAGTGTACCCAATACGATGCTGGATACTGCATAGACACTTATGAAATTAATACTTTTAAAATATACAAAAATGGCATATCTAAAAATTTATACTATAAAAAGTGTTTGTATATTAGAATTTCTGTAAATTTGACAATATGTATGTTAAAAAATGACAATGAGCTTAAAAAATTATAAGTGTAAGCATAGTACTAGCATATTAAATGGGATACTTATTCTCTAAACCTAGTCCTGGATTTCAAGAAATCTATATCCCTATTTTTCATATCCATGCCCTTGCCCCATATCAGCACCTGAACACCTTGGGGCCCAATCAGAAGATGGAGTGGGCCTATCAAGGCCAAACCAAACTCCCATATCTTGGTTGCATATGTTTAACAGATGTATAGGAATTATACATAATTATGGGCATGGTTTGGTCTTCCTTGGAGATAGGCAGTCATAAGTTACCTTTTTATAGGTACATGAGTTAAGTTTCTTGTAGCTTTGCTATATCTGTATCTTTCATTCAATAGTATCTTAGTAAAATTGGTTTGATTTGTTTCTGATAAAAAAATGCAGGAGAAAATTGTGATAAAACACATGGTGTTCCCTTGGCTACAAAGTGTTGAATCTAGATCCATGTTTTATGTGTCATGATCCTGTCATCAATAATAGGAAATCATAATTCTGTGATTTTAGTTTTGCCCTGATTTTTCCATGTACATGTCCTGATGCCTAGATTTTTTAACCAAGAAAACATATTTGATATTCCTCTCTAAAACAAGTCTAATGTAACAATGATGTGCACATGAATTGGAAAAATGATGCCAAATTTATGGACATGCTATAGATCTGTGACAAGAAACTAAAATAAGAAAAAGTAGACTAAGATTGCTTTGTCATGTGCAAAGAACATCTATGGCACCAGTAAAAAGAAATGACCTTTAAAACTTAAAAGTTAAGGGTCTAGAAGTAGGGGAGGCCAAAATGGACATGAATTGAAGTGGTTTGAAATGATTTGATGGCCCCACAAGTTAACAATGAATATGGCATTAAACATGGATGAATGATAAAATAGAATTCATGTGGCTGACCTCATATGGCCGGAGAGGGCTTTGTTGGGTAGAGATCTGTGACAGGAGTGATTAAAAGGGTATTTGGTTATTCTCACATTTTTTATTTATATCAGATGAATGCCTGAAATTTATTTCTTAGGTTTATCGTAGGTGTTCTGAAGTAGCAAAGCCCAAATAGTTAAGGATTAAGACTGAGCCGAGTTGAGTCAAGATATTGCCCAAAGTACTGTGATGAATTCCTCTACTATTATGTGCAGTATTTACATTTTTGGATTTTAATTCCTTTAAGACTTCTTGGAATAGCTGGAATAGGATCCTTTAAAAGATATGACATTTGGCCCCTAGTAAAATATGTGGGTTTGAATGTGATTGAAGTGAGTCTACATCATTAACCTAAGTTTCAATGGTGACATAAGTAATTTCACATCATTCTCTGGCTTATGAACTCCCACTATGTCAAATCTTAGTGGGAGCTCTTGATTGCTAGGAAATGAAACCTTGAAGAAAAAGGGCTTGAAAGATTATGCCTCCACCATATAGGCCATCTTGGGAGAATCAAATGTATGCATGTTGAATAGGATAGTAAAGTACATGGAGTTTATTGAAAAGATATTGGAAAGTATTTTCATTGCTGTCAACTTGTAAGGATTCTGAGAAGTGTACGTCTTTTAGGAGAAGTCCTTCCCTCATCTTTTGTTTCTCTTCTTAATGCTTAACCATTTCATTTTTCCTTCTTTTGGAGTAGGTGTAACCCAATTGTTTATAAAAGATAGGAAATTGAGTTAACAACATCTCCCCTCAAATTAATAATTCTAAATAGAACCATCAAACCTAGGGTTGATCAAGCCATTCTAAATACAACCAGTTCCTCCTTTTGCTGGAGATGGATCTGACTTATGACTACAAGTCTGCAACCTATTACAGGCTTGTTCGTTCATGCTGATGAATCACTAGTATTAACTATCAACAACACAATATATGAAATGATTATTGGTGTCATGATTTTATGCCTACATTCCTAACAGGCCCTTTATTATTATTTTACTGCATTCTCATTTTTATTCTTAAAATTCTTGAATTTAGATTGGATTCCACTAAAGGAGCATATGCGGCAGAGTGGGCTAAATGGGAGAAGAAATTACGGGAAGTCCTATTTGGGAATGCAGATTATTTGAATTCTGTTCAGGTATGTAGTATCCTTTTATTTAAGGCTCCATTTGTTTTGAAGTTTTTATTCAGTTCGGTTTTTCCATTTTTTGGTTGGTTCATAGTTGTCAAGGCGACGCCTAGGTGACAAGGCGCCTTTGGAGGCTCACCTCACATAATCACAAAGTAGTTTTCTATAGTGTGTTATAAAAAACTTTTATATTCTTAATTTTTTGAGGTTATAAAATAGATATTTTTAAGCTAAAATATTCATTTTGTGTGTTTATATACTAATTTCTTTTTATTATTTTCTTATTTGTTAGGGTTTAATCAACACAACATTGCTAAATGCTGTATTGAACCCTCAAAGACTTCAAAACCTGAACCAACAAGCAAGGAAGAACATAAAATGTTATCCAATCAACACATTTTCTTATTTTTCATTACTAATTTTGTGTGTTTATATACTAACAGAAATAGGGGTTCAGCCCCTATATTTTTTTAATTTTCTTTTCTTTCTTTTTTTTCTCATGAATATGTTGGAATATGTTGATTTTCTATACTTTAACATGAAGTTTATACTTATGAAAATTATGGATATTTATTAAGGAAATATGATTATGGAACCTAGGGAACTACCATAGGATACATGTTTTTACTTAAAAAAATCTATTGCCTAGGCGACAACCCCCCCCCCCCTGTTGCCTAGCCTCGCCTTGGCACCTTGAAAACTATGGTTGGTTTTTTATTTTACTCAGAGAAACTCAGAAAAGAACCATTGTTTGCTTGGGAAGGCTTCACTGGATACAGACCTAACATTTGGCATGTTTTGAATGGAGTGGCAGCATTTCAGACCCATCCACCAAGCAATGACTCCCTTTCAATTTGACTTGGCTAAGTAAAATACTTCTTGCTGACCAGAGATTTTACTTTGGAGAGTAAAATTTAAAAACCAACAATTTAAAATTCGTCAACCATTACCCAACCTTTTTACTTACTGTTGGGCTCAGCCCAACTTTAAAATCTCCTGTCTAAGGGACCTAAACTCAACTATCATGACCATATTTTTTCATTGGTCTTTGCCCATTTGGTGTTTTTATTAGTTCTTTTAACACATAAAACTTGAAACTTCGTTATAACTAAAATCTAAGCACAACTTCAAAGGAAGCAACAGTTGAAACTTGGAAATGATTATGATAATAACATTTCTGAGATTGAAGGGATTCCAACATCTTTTTGGTAATAAATAAAAAGGAGTTTTATTGAAAAAGAAAAAAAGGTGTTAAATTTGAAGGGACTTGTTTGAATGGTAGTTTTAAGAACTTTCTGTTTTTTTTTCTAATTGGCGATTTTGTTAAGCAGCCTTATAGAGTAATTGGTAACATATCTAAATGAAAGACTGGACAGAAAGATTTGAAAGTCAAATTGAAATTGCTAAAGCAATTTGACAATATGTTCTGACAATGATACAATGAAAGCACACCAAAAACCAACAAAATGAACCATTACATGAGAACTTAAAAGAATCTAGTGAGTAATAAAGCTTCTAAGCAACAATAATTTTAATATCACCAAATGAGTAACAAAAGCATCACCATTTGCTTTGGATCTTCAATCTCATCCAAATATTAAGGAATTACCTTGAAATTAAAGGAGCATTCTCTCTGCTCCTTAAACATTTGGGAATAAACTCTTGTCCAATAGGAAAATTAACCAGTGGGGTTTGATAGAGTCCAGGTTTGAAGCAAAATGCTGAAAAAGTGAAAATTATCCCTAACAGAAACTATCCATTTAATAAAGATAAATGCTGGATGAAGCAATAAATGGTAGGAAACTAGGGAAATTTTAAAAAAAATAAAAATTAAAAATAAATGAAAATTGAGAGAACTGTGTGTGTAGTGTGGGTGAGAGAGAGAGAGAGAGAGCTATAATTAGGGATAATTTTCAGTCCAAGGCCCACTTATTATTCTGTATTTTCAATTCAAAAGGGTGTGAGAAGTAGAAATTTTGCCACGCAACAAAGTTCTCAATTTGAACTGATGGTTGAATTAATGAAGAGTTGATAAGAAAGGGGCATGAGTCCAAACCTATTTACTTGAATATGCCACTGATTGGTGCCCAGGTGCTGGCTTTTTAATATGCCACTGATTGATGGCCGACAGCAAGTTGGTCTGTGATGACCAAGGCAGAGGTCAGTGACCATTTAGAAGTCTTAAAGGTGGAAACCAGAGCTTCCAGAGAATATCCCTCCAAAATCCAAGGTGAGCATAGAGAACAGAGAGATGGAGGTTGGTGAACAGAGAGAGATTGCCAAACAAAAGAGAGGAAAGTGGTTGCTTTAGGGTTAGAAACTTTGATTAAATAGATGAGAAATGTTAGAAATGCATTGGAACTACCTATATCTTATATTATGCCGTATATTTAGAGTTGTGTTCGGGCTGGACTGGTCCAGTGTTGCCCAAGGTGTCAAACTCTAATTCAACCTAAAATTAATTCAGGTCCATAAATCCTAATAACCTGATTGTCAACCTGACTTTTTGAGTTGGATTCAAGTTAGCCTGACCCAAGTTAGACCCCTTATGCAGGACTGTGTATGACATATAGACCCACAAAATGGGACCAACATGTGGATCCATATGGGACCAGTATGTAAAGCATGCATATGGGTCCAACATGACCAACAAGTGGTCCCATACAATGTGACCAATATAAGAGAATCACATGTGGGGTGAAAACATGTAGGGCCTACAGATTAGGACCAACATGACCAACAAATTGGACCGACATATTGGTCTCATTTTCTGCTTGCATTTTCCTTTATGCAAGCAAGAAAAGAAACAAAATGGTTTAAAAGTTGAACTAAAATGGAACTATTATTTAACTCGCTAAATTTTATTCATAAGATTTTACTCAGGTAAAACCCTTTTTACTTAAAAATAAACAGAGCCTTAGGTAATAAGTCTTGTTTGATTGTCGCCAATAAAAATATCCATATTTTGTTTCTTTGTTTTGTTGGTCAGGGTTAATTTCTATGTTATATTGAGTATCATCAGTTTTGTCAATAACAAATAGCAACAATATGACCCCTGTAACGGTTGTTTCAGGTTCCATTTGATTATTCTGTTCAGAAAGTGTTGGAGCAATTAAAAATTGTCGCAAAAGGTGATTATACAACATCCAATACAGAGAAGAGGAAGTTTGGAACTATTGTTTTTGCAGCTGTTACTTTACCTGTTGCAGAGATCAGTAGCCTTCTGAGTAAGGTAGTCTTCCATCTAAATTTTCCTACTAGGTTCTATGCATTTCTTGAAAGGTGTTAATATTTGTTGACAAGCACTGGTGCATGGATATGGACATGGAGGGTCAAAATCCAATGTGTCCAACTAGATGAGAAAATATGGGCTCATGGGCAGTCTGGGAAAGTATATACCATTATAATGGTTCACATCTTTTTTGAATTCTAGCATTGTATACCTGAAAAAATATGTTGTTTTTGTTACTAACATTTTGGAAAATCTATGCTTCCAGAGAGTCATTATATACCAGAAGAGCTTTGCCCAATCACCCCCTCCCCCAATTTGGATTAATTCCACTTAATTGGTTACCACTGTTATGATACTGGTTGATTGATTTCAAGTTTTTCCCTGTATTGTAGTCGAACCTTAACATTATATATGAAGAATGGCATTCGTCTTATAAATTAGCTGTTCGTTTATGTCAAACAATCTAGGAGATAAAAAGGAAATGTTAAGTGTCCTCGAGAATCTGTGGAGTATTGGACTTCAAGATGTGTCAGAGATGTCATCCATTTAGGAGAATCCATGCAACACTTTATAGAAACTCATCTTAGGGAATACAGCCCAGTCCTGCAAGCTTCTTTTTTCTTTTTTTCTTTTTTTTATTTTTGAACTGTAAAATATTGTATTAATGAGACAAAAATATACAACTCTTCCCCATAACAACAGAATGCTGTGCAGTGGGCCAGCCTATTAAGGTTCTGCAGCTTTAGACCCATAATCCAGGCCCTTATCTTTATATTCATGCCCAAATGAATCATCTGCAGACCAGAGTCTGTCTCTGGGGCTGAATATTGAAAGTTTCAAGTTCTTTGTGGCAATTACAGCCACGTTGGGGCCAGTCAGGTTTAATGTGCTGGTCCATTTGATGCCTACACTAGAATTGGATAGATCAGGACAACAATACAGTCAAATCCAGATATATGAAGGGAATACTGTTTAATCCAAGTTGGAAAGACCAAGACTTTATCCCCCAACCTGCACAGCACAGGTAGAAAAGTAACCTGACCTATAATCTTAGGCAGATGTTCCATGATCTTGGTATGTTCTTTAGGCAATTAAGAAAAGTTATTAGATTGGTTGTTTAGGACGGTTAGACATCTGTTCTGGTGTATTTACTTTAGCATTATGGATAGGTAATGATGCTTTCTCAGTTCTGATGACACTTTCAAAAAATAACAATTACACATTTCTTTCAAACAGATGGCCGAGAAGAATCCTCAGGTTAAAGGTTTTCTCAAGGATAAAGATATGGAGAATTCCCTCAAGAAGGCTCATGTGACTCTTGCTCATAAGAGGAGCCATGGTGTCACCGCTGTTGCCAGTTATGGCGTGTTCCTCCATGGAAATGTCCCAGTTTATCTGACAGCACTGCTCTTTTCTGATAAATTGGCTGCACTTGAGGGAGACCTTGGCTCTGTCGATGGTGAGAAAATAATCTCAAAAAACCAGTGGCCCCATGTCACCATATGGACTGGAGAAGGAGTTGCAGCCAAGGAAGCAAACACGCTACCACAGCTTCTTTCCGAGGGGAAGGCAACACGCATCAACATAGACCCACCAATCGAAATATTAGGAACATTGGATTTTTATTGAATTCTTGGTGAGTTTAGTGTACATATGAACTGTCTGGGTCTTGTGTTGCTTTGCAAATGTCTCTACATCCTGGATAACTTAACCACTTCCTCCTTGGATTTTGCGGGTATGGGATAAAACGGAAGGATGCCGTGGGGAAAGGGAAAATTTTTGTATAGACTATATATCATATAGCTTAGAGGTGTACATTTTGTCAAATTACGATAGAATAAAAAACAAATAGTTCAATTTATCAAGTTCTTCCCAAGTTTGTGTTGCTCTTGATTAGTGGACATGACCCCTCCAATAAACATAGGAAATTCTTATTTAACAATTTAACATGGGAAATTAAAACATACCCTGGGTTTTTATAAATTGACTAAAACATACCTTGAGTTTTTCAAGTAGACTTAAATATACGTTTTTGACTCTTTTACCGTTTGTTTCTTTCAAATTTTTAAAATATACCCTAAAACTTTCATACTCATATTGATGGTGGACGTATCAGATTGCCTCTATTTTTCGGGGCACATTTGAGTCAATCTATAAAAACTCGAAACTCTGTGGATTGGAACGATCAAACAAGACAAATTGGTGGGTCCATCTCACCATGGGAAAACAGCTCAATAAAAGGCACTTGTCTGTTTATTTTTGTATTAGGTGTCAGTGAGGTTGTTTGGTATCTATGCTGCCTATTAATGGAAAAGAAATGAGAATAAGCCTAATAAAGGGAAAGGGAAAACTGGAAAAGTGGAAATCAAAAAATTGCAACTCTAACCAGTAACCATTGCTATTTTTAAAAGAAAATTGAGATGAGATATGAGAAGCCTCTTGCCTTCATTCTGTTTCTCTGAAACCAATGACCAAAGCATATATTTGGTTCTTCTTTGTTGCAGCACCTTCAGCCTTCAACAACCAGCTTAGAGGTGTACATTTTAAGTCAATTTAGGCTGTGCTTGGCTTGAAGGAAAAGATGGGGAAAAGGTAAAAAAACATAGTTTAAGTTTGTATGATTTCTTCGCCTTTTCCTCCCTTTTTTAACCTTTTCTTTCAAACCAAACACAGCCTTAAAGTTCTAGCTATATGGAAAATTTTGGCTTTCCTAATGCAGTCTGCGACGTGCAATCTGCTTCGATCTTCCATTTTTGAAGACTTCAGAGTTTTACAACAGGTTCTCATGGGTGATGTATCTCTAGACCCCGGACTTCGCCATACGAAGAATGGTAACGTGCGACGATTAGAACTGATGAGACAAGTGATCTTATATTTTGTTTAATTGATGTAAGAAAAGGTGCAATCGGTCTGACCAGGTTATAAATGTCGTTCTTATTTCTTAAGATGGCGGAAGCTCATCTGCGACCACGTCATACAAATTACAGGTGATATGCGTTTTTTAGCCCATGTTTGGGAGTGCTTAATTTTAAGCGCTTATTGAAATAAGCACTTACTTGAGGTCAGGATAAGTGGACAACACCAATAAATACTTGTTAGCATTTGGTAAGTAAACCCCACTAAATGCTTATGAATATAAATAAATTTATTTTGACACCGGTGCGTATTTATAGGCACTCATTGCTTTCTGATTCATCTTGGCCTGTCATGTGATTTTTAAAATGCCCATGGTAAACACTTTTTAACCAAATATGGACTAAGATCACTAACGTGTCCAACTGTCCATACTCCATATTTAAGACGATTACGATTCCGACCGGATTCAAATTCGGTATTAAATCATATAAACCATAAAGGAATCGATCACGAATGCTGCTGGATCTCATCTCAATCTGGCCCGATTATATATCCCTTATTACGGACATTAAACCCATTCAACCATATTTACCCAAAAAAATAACATATAGAGCATCAGGCCACACCTCTTACAACAAATGATTTCTTCCATTCAAGTAAACGAATGATACAAAAATAAAATCACAAGCGTTTGTTTTAGAGACAACCAATACAAAGAATCGGGTTCTTATCTAATTTCAGAAGTATCAATGGAGCCAACCCAAAACAACATGAAAACAAAAAATAACAGAAACAGGGAAGAAACCTACGGAAAAATACTACGAAAACATATAAAATTAAAGAAAAAAGGCAGAAGAATAATTTCAACCAATCCAGATTCTACTACACAATAAATAAGAGAGCTCTAAAATAGTTGAAGAAACCAACCTGATCACTTCTTCCTGTTTCCCCTCTTCTTGAGATCCCTCTAACCCATGCGTGTGTCTTGTCTTCTGCTCCCCATTTGATCAGGTGCCAACTACCTGCTCCCTCCATTGCTCACACTGTGCTCTGCAGGTATGCCAATGTCTTTAATGGAGCTGGTGTCCACCTTGGGCGGACCTGAATGTCGCCTCAACGCCGCTGGGGAAGCTGGGTAAGACAGACGCTTCTTAACAGACCCTGCAGATCCTTTCTCCGGGGTCCCGGTTCCATTCTTCTCTAACCCCAATGGGCTCTGCAATCGAGTTTTAGCCTTTGCAGACTCGGTGGGTGCCATGTAGCTTGGGACAGATGGAGAGCTTGCCAGGCTCTCATCATCTCGCACTGATGACCCTGCAATACTGTGCCGCCGATGCTTCTCTGACTGCATGCTGAACATGCTCCTTGAGTCATCATCCTGACCCCACAAGCTCCCCCCTGGACTTGCCACATTCAATTTCCCAGCTACTGATGATGAAGTTGCTTTGGAAGGAGTTGATGGGGATTGGCGGGTGGCAGAGCGGCTTGGTTTTTGGGCTGTTGGTGAAGGCTTTTCAGCATTGAGCTCACGACGAGCATAAGCTTTGCTGATTTCTCCTCCAACACTGCGGCTTGCACTTATTACAGATGCTTGGTCATTGTTGAGCTCTTTCTCTGTCATGCTACGACTCTCCCATGGCCGGGCTGCCATCCATCTCTCTAGCCAACTCCATCCCCAGTGAGGATTGTTTGGATCCATAAATGTTGGGTTAACAGATCTTGAATTCTTCCACATTTGCTGCAGAACCATCTCATACTGAGTTATTCACGTAATCTAGTTAATCTGAAGATTGCAGGACATATAATTTGGCATAAACCTTAACTCGGTGTATCAGCCTGGCGACTCAAAAAAACACAGGTCTGTGAATCTTAATATAATTGGCAAATTTCTAAAGTTCAAAGAGAAACATTGGCCTTCTAAAGGAAAATCCAATCAGATTTTGGCATTCCTTCATCCAAGCTGAATCACCTCCTCTTTTACTAGGTAAACCTCACAGGTTGACTCACCAAGTTCTCCTGAATCCCAACTACTGTTGATTCAAGTTGTTTAGCAGGGAAGAGAAACAAGAAATATGGAATATAAAACCTTAGAACACCAAGATAAAGTGGCAAGGGAGGTTACCTGATGAGAGAATGCATAAGCAAGAGCTCTTTCTCTTCTCATAGCAGCCTCTTGCTTGCTCAATAGGCTTGCTTCAATTTGTTCCTTGGATTGCAGACTGTCATCCCAATCCTCTCCCATCTGTCACAGAGTTAAAAAGTACACAAATCAGATAGAAAATAATTTCCAAAGAGGTTAAATGGAAAATAATTCCCTGGTAAATGTTTATATTTGTTGTAATATTAACCTACTGTTATATGAAACAGAAATGCTAATATACCCAGGGTTAGACACGGACAAATGGGTAGTGAAACTTGCTGACCGAGCAAACCTAATGAAGGAGAAAACACAGCGAGGGTGATGTGTAGATTGAGACTATCTATCTAATGAGGAACCTCTTGATAAGCCAAGTTATCCATCATGTGGCTGATTAGGGAATCTCCCAATCAGCCACATGAATAAAACATCCAGGCAAGATGACTTCCCCTGAAATTTGAACTAGAAACAAAGATGAAAGAATAATCTGCTGCGCTGTGCTAGAGGCCTATTGGTTTAAAACTTGCCATGTGGAAGGAGGGTGATATGGAAAAAAGTAGATCCATTTAGGCTACCAACTCGGGTCCAATTTGTTGAAAATCATGTTGGTGAATGTTACTCCTCCTTTGTCTAAAGTGTAACCAAACCCGTAATGGCAATAGTCTAAGTAAAAGTGCCATAGCCAGGCAGTTGCCAAGCATTCCATGCATAACGGAGAAAAAAAAAGCCCAGGTTGAATAAAGTTTTGAATGATCTCCAAGTTGGGAAAAATTGAGGAATCGAAATAAAATTTCCAACTGCAAATCAGTATAGCTTAATTTTCTGAAAGATTACAGCCAAAATGCAGATTGTCATTTGTCAATAGTCAATGACACAAAGGAGATTGGTTAGACTGGAAATTAGAGAAACAAATAAAAAAGCAAGTGAACTAGTGAAGTACATAAAGTAACTTGAAAATTTCTATTTTTTTGGGTAACTATTTCTTGAAGAATAAAACAAAACAAATCATGGCACTTACAGAGGCTCGTAAACTTGCAAGTTCCTTCTCACGTTTCTGTTGGAGTTGCCGCTGGAGAGCCTGGTTCTCCTCCATCATCCTGATTCTCCTTGAACGGATTTGAGACTGAACACGGGCCAGTGTCTGCATGCAACGTAAGGTGGTTGTGGCTTGACGTTTGACTGAATTTCCATGTATGAGTGATTTCAACCTAACAAGCCCTCTCAAGGCCCGTAATGCTCTCCTTGCCTGTAAAAATGACAAAGAAGAAGAACCATACTGAAACACATTTCACAATATCCACTTATATATATATGAGAGAGAGAGAGAAGAAACACATTTCACAATGTCCTTTGCATTCTACTCCCCCCCCCCCCAAAAAAAAAAAAAAAAAAAAGTATCTAATCAAAGCCATCCAAGGTACTGAAGATTATCCAAGATGGATATGATTTCTTCTTTTAGTTTTTCTCAGTGCAAAACTTTTCAGGAAACAAGTAGAGCCAAAAGTATCTAAAATGAATATACATTTGGAAACATTAGACAAATAGCCAAAACAAATGCAAAAAAAATATATTGTTGAAACAGTTAAGGAATATGAATTTTCTTGAGCATAACCAACCAAGCACCAAAGGGGAGTCATTAGCTCATCTTTCAGAGGCACCTACTTGAACCCACGTTCTCACAGTAGTCATGTCAGCCGAGATTTTACCATCACACCAAGCAATGGCTCCTATCTACAAGATACTTTGTACTGGTTTGAAAATTAAAAAACAAGGATTGCAACTGATTTAAGATGTTTGATGTTCTTAGCTAGCAGTTATTTTGTTTCCCGTTACTTTCACAAACTAAAGACAAATAATAATTTAAAAAAAAAAACATTAATTTACTTGCCAGATGTTGATCTTTTTGAAAGGATGATGGAAAATTCAAATTGTTTATTGTTCAAATTTCAAAAACAAAATAAGGGAACCATCTCAGACATTCCCATGGAGGATGAATGCCCATTGGAAATAGGAGTTAATACCAGGTATCCTCGGAATGCCGTTTGAATCTTGATAGCCGCAATTTCCTCCTTTGATTTACCAGAAAAACGGGTCACTGATGTGAGGCGAACAACTTCTGCGGCAGCCTGAGCTGCAGCAACGGCGGCCTCAGCAGCCACAGCGGTGGCAATCGCAACAGAGTATGCGTGCTTGCTCTGTTCATTTTCTGCTTCGGTGAGCTGCACTTCCTCGGGAGGTGGAGGTGGAGGAGGTGGAGGAGGAGAATTTTGGGGAAGAGGGGGCACCGCAGAAGCAGTTTCAAATGAGGAAGTAGAAGGATCTGGGTGTTTCTCTTTCCCGAACCATTTCTTCTTAGATTTACTGCTTTTCTGATTAAAAATATAAAGGAAAGAAAACAAAAGAAGGTTGAATGAGAAAGCAATTTAAAAGTAAGAGGCAATCCAATAATCCAGAAAAAAAAAATGAAACAAATGGCATTCTCCGAACCTGATCTTTCTTCTCCTTGGATTCAGGACTGAAGGCTTTCTTCACTGCAACAAACCAGTTTCCTTTCTTCCCCATCTCCTTGTCATTCCTCGACTCGATCTTTGACAGATAAACAACCCAAATCTGAATCAGATCAAAGGAGCCATCTTTCTAATAAACAGTAGGAACCCAAGTATAACAAAATACCACTTACGATCTGTGGGAAAGAAAAAGACTATGAAACAAATAAAGATAAATAATTAAAAAAAAAAAAAACAGGTCTATAAAATAGCCGCATTTCCATATCTCAAACCAAAATCGAAACTTCATGAACAAAAAGAAAATCGAAAACCAAGAAAAATCTACGAGAGTCAGAACCTGGAAATTCAACGAAATAATCGGTTTGGAAACAAACGCCAACAGTGTGAAGGACGAAGAAAATCTTCACTTCAATTTCCAACCAATAAATGGGGCAGTATATAACCCAATCGAAGAAATTGCAAGATCTTCAAGAAAGCCAGAAACCCATATCTATATTACAAAAGACGTGCCGACACACACACACACAGAGGAGAGCGAGAAACCAGGGAGAAAAAAGAGTTGCACCGAAACCCACGAAAAGGCGAAGAAAAATGAATCTCAAGAAAAAAAAAAGCCAATTTTCCATTCAATATTCAAAGCAATAGGAAAACAAACATACCTGATAATGAAATTGCAGATCTCTGTAAAATATCTTCAGGTCTTGTTCTCTCTCTGTGTTTCTCTTTCCCTCCACAGAACGAGAAGAGAAAAAGACTAGACCTTGCAAGCATCTGTGAGGGAGAAAAACCAGATCTTGCCAAGGAAATTTCAACGACCAGAAATGGAGAATAACAGCTGGGTTTTTCCACTGGGACCCACTTTACGTAAGCAAGCTTTGGTCCCATTTAATAAGAACTCGAATTTTTCTCAACAAAACCAACTTGTCTCTGCCCGACTCTGAATTTACTTTCCGCAGGTGCTGCTGCATGCCCTGCATAACTGAGATTAAATTCTAGAGTGATTTGGGCACACCCATTTTTTAATGAAACCAATCTCTCTCTCTCTCTATCTCTGATGTGCGGATGTGCCCAAAATGAAAATGACTGAAAATCACTCTTTCACTGTACTGCCATGGAAAAAGGAAAGAAAGCAGCTTTTTTTTAACAGAAGGAAGAATGAGAAAGATGCAAAGCGTAGACGCTAATTAAATTCCCAACGTCCCAGATCGGTTAAAATAACTGATCATCTGAATTCACATCAGAGGTTTAAGAGATCGGCATGTATGGGGTGGTCACATTAATACCATCACATGTTACCATCTGCCCTCATCAACTCCTTCAATACTTTCTTTTACTTCTTCTCTCTCATCCTTTGAATGAAGCATGAATCCAGGTGCACGTGGCACAACCGAGCCCGCCCCTCATTTCAGGCCCAAGTTTGAGTAGCCCCATATGACATGATCCCACCATAATCCCGGTTCAAAGATGTAGGGCTTTCAAGTTTCAATGAATCGGATCTGACCCAATGGATTTGAATCGATTGTGCCAGTTCTAGTTTTAGGATCTGTACCGATAAATTGGTTTCGGTTTTAGTGTATTGCCGTAATTATTATCGGACCCAAACTATATATATAATTGGTCTATCGGGTCAGATCCAATTGTTTCGAGAATCAATTAATTCATTTTTTGGTCTAAAATTATAACCCTACAAGGTCTAATTCGATTTCTTACCGTGTCGGTTCTGATTTTACCCTGTCCCAATTTGTGAGTTTACATCGTCTGCATCGTGGTTGTAGAAAAAACTCAGCAAACACTAATGCAAATTTAACATGTCATTGGTTAATAATGGAAGTGTGGAAAGTTGAAACTAATGACCGTTTTTTATTTTATTATTTTTACTATGTTTTAAAAAACCCACCAGTCTTTTTTTGGTGCTTCCTCTCTGTCCTCTCTTTCTTTCTCTCGCCCTTCTTCTTGCTTGGGAATTCACATCGTCTGCTCAACACTCCTTTCTCTCACCCTCCCTGGTCCCCATACCAACCATCGACCATCGACAACAATTGCGCCGCCAGACATCGATCGTCGGCAATGATTACTCTCTCTCCCCCCCCCCCCAGTTTTATTGTTTTCTCTTCTTCCTTCTTCCTTAGCAACCCAGCACTCCGTCCGGGCCACCGCTACAATCATCGATGCTACTGCAACCACCAGGCATTGGACAAAGCATGAACAACATGTTAAAATGTTAACCTCTAATGATTTTGAACCCTAAAACCCTAGCTAATGTATATTATTTTCGGTGTTGGTTATTTGCTACAATAATTAAGGGATCGGGATTTTTGCTTTTTTTCTAACAGTTTTTGCTTCTCTAAATTGAACCATTATACCTAAACCTTATCTTTTTTTTTGTTTTGTTTCAGATTTTTGCTTCGCTATATGCATACCTGATTTTAGTTGTTCAGTGTTCATTCCAATCGTCTTCCCATTGATGCGTTACATCAAACCCTTATTCCTTCTCATCCCACTCTGTTATAGATACTAATAATATTTCTCTGTATTTTTAAAATAATTCCAGTAAAAGAAGTTGGTTCAATGTCAGGGTTTGGGAGGGCTGCTTCATGCTGGGGTTTGAGTTAAATGATGGTTGAATGCACCCATCATTGAATTTTGGTCTAGTCTAATACTAGTTTGATTATATTTCCTATTTAACGAGACTATTTATGATATTGATACGAATTCAGGGTAGTATTACTATTACTTGTCAAATGAAATACCTAATCTACCAAATTCCTTAATTATTGATCTTTTCTGAAATAACCCAAATCTATATACTTCTCAACTTACCAACTTCCTAGATGATTGTGTTGACTTGTTGCAAAGATAGTTAAACTTGGCCAACCACCTAAATGTTTCTTATTCTTTCTTTAGTTTCATACTTATAACAAGTTATATACTCCTCTAATCTCAAATGTAAATTCATTTTTGTTGAATTCTTTATAGAGGTAGTTGAATTAAAGGGAAACAATAATCTTTAATTTGTTTTTTTCTTAAGTTTCCCTTATCTTTTAATTTGTACTTGATTTTAGTGTACAGAGTACAAAGCAATGTATTAATATCTATGGAGAGGGATCTCAATATATATTGAAGCATCAAGATTGGTCAGTGCATCCATGCAGCCATGAGATTCTGGTCAACACACATGGGAATGAAAGATTATTAAATATCTCCTTTGGGTTTTGCTTGGTCAATACACAACCTTGATGATTGTGTCAAGACGTTGAAGAACCTGCAATATACAACCAATTCTAAAAGAAGATCAGATTTTGATTTTTTTTTTTGGTACTTTGACTTATAAATTTGAAAACATGATTCCAACAGTATAGATAAGAACTTCAAAATGTGTGTATATCATAATCTAGCATCTACATTCCGAACTAAAGCTCTAAAACACACTTTTCTTTAATGAATGTTTATTCTTGTTGACTAGATTAATTAGCTTTGTTGCTGATGAATCATGTTTGTGTATGTGAGTCTGTGACTGTATGGATCATGAATCATTATAAGTGAAAGATGAAAAGCATTCGGAGATAAGAGCATTTTAGTAATGCTTCTAAACATATCACAAACTACTATCATCAAATGCTGTCAATTACGTAATTAAGTACTTATTTTATTAATTCGGGTAATTATTTTTCTTAGTAATAATTTGTAATTACTTATTAATGAAAATAGCCATTTCTCAAAGGTTGCAACATTCAATTAGCTGAACAATAACTTTACATTCAAATATCTAAAAAATCAAAAAAGCATATTTCATGAATGAAGGAACAAAGTAGAGATGCAAATTGAGCGAGTTGGGGTTGTACATTTGTTAATGGGTGGAACATAACAAAGGAAGGTAAAAGAAGGGAATAGCTCATTTTTCTCATATCCATAGGTTGTCACTTTAGATGTTCTAATGCCCGGTGGTTGCAGCAGCGTCGGTGATTGCAACGGCAGCCCGAACGGAGTGCTGGGATGCTGATTCGAAGGAAGAGGGAAGAAGAGGAAACAAGAAAATTGGAAGAGAGAAAGAGAGAGAGAGAGAGAGGAGAAGAAGAAGAAGAAAAAGTAACCATCGCCGGTGGTCAATGTCCGATAGTGCAATCGTCACCGATGGTTGGTGTGGAACAGGGAGAGCGACAAAAAGGAATGGTGAGTAGAAGATGTGAACTCATGGCCAAGAGGGAGGGCAAGAAAAAGAAAGAAAGGGCAGAAAGAGGAAGCATCGAAAAAGGATTGGTGGGTTTTTCAAAACATAGTAAAATAATAAAATACCGCCGTTATGAACCATAACGTGTTAAATTTGCATTGGCGACGTGAACTCAAATCACTGACCCCAGCTGTTGCCCTACCAAGATGTTGGCCAGTCCAGCACAGACTGACCCCATATATAGTAACTCAAATCACTGGCCCCAGCTATAGGGGAAGCAATTTGTGTTGTACTCATGCTGCTAGTGGATGTGGTTGTTTGGCGCTGAATTGAACAAAAAGAAATGCCGATGGGTTTTGAAATTTTGATCAACAGGATTGGATGCTTTTAGTCCTCCTGTCCAACAGTTGGAGAGGCACTGATCAGCTTTACTTTGAGAAAGAAACGCGCTCGAATACAATCAATCGTTTACTTTTTATTTTCTGGGTAAAAGAATAATAACCTACTTGTCCTACTGAAATTATTTGGGAAAGAATCGACAGCCTTGCCGCCATATGCGTTTCCTGTATCCAGATATGTCGTATATGACTACTCACCTACCAATTTTTAAGGCCGTGAGGTAGGATAGCCTTGGGTGGGACCCTCTATTAACTTATTGACTTTAGTTGATTCCCACGGTGGGGATGCAAGTAGGGCTGCAAATGTTATCCGTTTATCTGAATCAAAATTCAAAATGGAATTTGATCCGATGGAGGTGATCCATTTGATAGTTTTTGAATATTTATATCTATATTGTAATTTATAGAAATTAGGGGAGTGTATCATAGTGTGATCTTGTAAGGTGTGATGTGTTTTGCGGTGTCAATTGGACTGGATTTGGTCCAATTTTGTTCAATTCAATGTGAGTTTATTATAAATGGACCTCGTCCAATTCAGACCATTTTAGACTGGTTCAGAGACTGTTCTATCTGTTCAAATTCTTGTTAATTTAGATTGATTTTTTAATTCAAATTTGGTTCATTGACACATATTTTTATCTTTTATCAATGGACTAGATATAGGCTCAATCCAATATAAATTATGGACAGACCAGGTCCAATCCAATATTCATATTGGTCCATCCAGTCCGTCCAAATTTAATATATCTTATTGGTCCATCTAATCCATCCAAATGAATATTAATTTGAATGGAGTACAATCCAAAACCGGTCCATTAACACCCCTAGATGTATTTAAATCTATTGGGCGCCATTATAGAATGGTTGAAATTATGTTCTGTGATGAAATGTATTGTTATCAAAATTCTGGATAAAACACTGTAGGCATTTATTATATTGTACAGTAATCATCTAAGGTATTGTTTG